GGGGAGAAATCAAGAGATGAGTCAGTCATCAGTAGCATGAGACAAACCTGAACAGACACCAAGACCAAGAACATGAAAATACCATTTGACACCCTTCTTAGAGTTCTAGATCTGCTAATATGACAGATCACAAACACTTCCACCTCCCTTTTATATTAGGATTCAAAAAGAATATACACATCTTCACAAAATGCATTTAGTTGCCATATAATATACTTGGATTGAAATGAGATTTGTCCTTTGAAAAAAATGAAAAAAACAGTATGAGAATATGCCCTCTCACGTTTCTCCAGAAAATTTCTTCAAAATGCGACAAATAAAGGGCAGAGATTGGACCTAGAAAAGCATTTTTGTCCTCACGATATTCTGTAGTTTTCTGTGTTTACACTGAAGCAAATGAGCAGAAGTCTGAAGAAATTAAACGCTTTAGAGTGCTAAAATCAAAACATAAGCAATACAATTTTTTAATTTCAGTATTTTAAAGTACAGAAAGTGGAAACTATGAATATCAAATACAAATTTAAACAAAGCCACTTGTCCTCCCCTAGAATAATCAATGTGAACTACTTATAGAAACTTACAAATTTAAAGTAAAATTGAAACAAAATAAATACTGTACATACACTTTCCCTGCCTGCAGGCAAAAAAGGATGGGAAATACTGTAATGAATTGAAAAAAATGCTCTTAAAGCTGCAGCATCCCATTTCCCAGCCAAATACTTAACACAGTAGTGCGTTTCTGTAAAAAGGAAGACACACATACACCGACCCCTACTGAGCAGACAAGCTAGTATTTTCAGAGACATTAGAAGGAAAGATAGAAATTAGACTATGAGAGTAGAAAAAGGAGAGGAAAAGACAAACGGGCCAGCAAAACATTACTACAAAACTAGTAAATATAGCCAAGAACTAGACCCTTTTTTTTTCTTTTTTTTTTTTTTTTTTTTTTCAAATTCCATGGTTTTTTTAAAAAAAAGATTCACCAAAGCATTGGCAGCAATAGACATTTCCCAGCAGAAGTGACAATACATATCAATATAATCTCTTAAAGTGATCCCTTTCATTCCCTTCCCACGGCATGAAACTCTTATGGCTTAATTTATATTAAAAGTAGAAAAAGTCTTTTTTTCCAAACAGAAATGCAGCCTATGAAGAACATGCATTTCCTTATCAGTGCTACTTATATTTCCCATCCACTGCATGATTTATCACTCATACGCTCCCACAAAGAGGGTTACTAGGCTGTTTTTTGTTGAGGTTTGGGGTTTTTTTTTTGAAAAATGGATGTTGCAGCTTTTAATCTTGTTTAACCACAAATAGTAAGGCCCTTGGTTCCATTTATATTTCTTCTGTGAAAGAGTAGCTCTGGGCTCACTCAACCCCAGAGCTACAGCTTTATAATGGTGTGGAAGTATTACATGAATGAAACTCTGGAAAGACACTAGATTTGGGGATCATGGTGGGGGTGTGAAGGGACAGGTGGGCATGTGGAGCCTGAATAGGGCACTAGTTATAGGCTGGTAGTACCAGGTCATTCTAGCTTCAGTTCTGCTTAGTCTCCACAATTACCAAAAAGGGGGTAGCAAGATTCACATCAGCTCTGACTCCGAAACCCTGCAAAAATCTTCAACATTTACAACTTCGTGGCCTTGCAAATGAAGGTAGCTTATGCCATATAGCAAAGCCTAGGGAAAGCTGAAGCTTCTAAAATGTGATCATGACACTGTGCTCTCTTGTATCTCTACTAAAAGTAACACAAGCACTTCAACCACCAAAAAAACAGAACCCCCAAAATCCCCCACGTGATCAGAAAGCAACAGTTTTAACTCTCAACATCTAACCCTTTCAAAATTGTCTTTAAGAATGGATTCATGTATTATAGGTTGCATAGGTAATCTACCTCAGAGGTCAACAAAGGCTACCTTGTAGCCAGGATTTATTAGCAAGTATAGTAGGAGAAGAAAAGGGAAAGTTGCTGGAAGAGTCTTTGACATAGTTTCTGGGTGGTCTTTCCATTTTCATGTTTGTTTCTTTTTTTTCAATTGCAGGAACATAAGAACTTAAGAGAATGGGAAAACTCCTACAACATTTCATTTCCTATTGTTCTGTTTACAAAAAAAAAAAAAAAAAAAAATTAAAGTTTTATGCCAAATCCAAATTTTCTGACTTTTCAAAAAAGATTATCCTTGAAAACCAGTTACCATAGCAGGCTTAATTCTTTTTGTTGTCCAGCCAGTGTTCCCTACTCCCTCCCTCTTCTACCCCAAGTGAAACACCAAGGAAAAAAATAGGGCTTTTTCTCTCCACTACAACACAAGGTTCAGTCAATCTACAGAAAGATTGGTGCAGTAATGTTTTCATCTAGAACACAATAAAAATATCCCTACATACAAGTACACAAACCAAGTGAGGTCACCACATCCTCTTCATGAGCTACCAGGAGACTTCCCCCCACCCCCCCTTTGTTTTTTTCTTTGTTTTTTTCTTTTTTTTTTGTTTTTTCTTTTTTTTTTTTTTAAATACTGCTCATCATGGCAATTTCTTTTAAATTACTTGTTCTGAGGTGGAACATCAGAATTAACTTCTGCTGGAAGCATGGACATCTGAAGAAAATGGGAATGAACCTCTGCCTGTTGACAGCCTGTGAAGACACTATTACATAAATTCATGACAGCGGAGAGCCACTTTGAGAAAAAAAGGTAGAAAGTAGAGTAAAGAAAGAATAAAACCAAGAAAAAATAATATATATGGGTCCAGCCACATCTGTGTTCCAATAGTAAGATACAGATAAATAATGCAGATGGTCAGAAAAGAGACTTTGTACAAGCCAGTCACATGTACAAGAAAGCATACTCCATATTTTAAAATTCCTTACTCCAGATTCTATTCTGGCATACTTCTACTCTGGATAAGTGTTCTCAAAAATCTGCCTTTAAGGAGAGAGAGCTCATTCTTCATTCTGCTCTGAATCTGACTGCTACCCTAAACTGATTTTTTTTTTCTATTTGTAAAAATTATACAGCCAGCAAGAAGGAAACAGTTTGGTTCAATATGCTAAAGCTAAAACAGTTTCCAAAGCCTGTCAGGCACTAATCCATTTGCTAAAGCTTAAGCACAGAGAATATTTAAATGGGAATATAATTTTAACTAATATTGACAACATAGTTTATTTCTTTGACTTTGGTGAGAACATATTAGAAGATAGTTAAAATATTCTCTTTTAACTATTTCCAGATGGAAAACATAGCACCTGAGAACAGCAAGTACTTATAGTCACTTTCAGCACCTGTGGAGTACCTCTTAGCTTATCTTCTGCTTTTTAGAAATCCTTTGTTACTTCTGTTTCCAATAGTCTAAACAAGGTTGATAGCTTGTGTTAAATTAAAAAAAAAAAAAAAAAAAAAAAAAAAGACTGAAAACATGCTTTTGTGAAACCATAATTAGCAAACAAAAAAAGGTTAAAAAAAAATTTACCCATACGCACACACAGAAAACTATAAAGTCAAGTCAATACAATGTAAAAGCAGGGCTGCAAAAAACACTCCTAAGTTATAATTTTCAAGCTCCAGAGGAAGTAAAGCCATGAAAGCTACCTGACTTATTTGCAGTTGCATTATGTTTTGATGTTTCTCAATTTAGAAACAGGATAACATAGTGCTAAGTAGCTTGACCCTGCAATAATCAAAACCACCTGACATCAGAACTATTTCCATAAACTTGTAAAGGCATTCATAATCCAGCCTAGATAAAAATAACTCTGCACAAATATTCTGGAAAGTCCAACTGAATTTGTTTTTAAACCACAACAAGAGAAAATTATTCCAGTATAGAATATGGAGGAAGGAAAAACTAGTATGGAAAGTTAAATCAATTCAATGACTTGGATAGCTATGCCTGAGTATTTTCACTCTTAGCAACAAAAAAACCCCCAACCAACCAACAATATTGTTGTCACTAGCATATTAATGATTTCATTTTGGCTGGACCCTGCAAAATGCCCTTTTTCCAGAATCAAGTAAAAGTATTCCCCTTTCCGCCTTTATCCCCATCCCCCAAAAGTTAAATATTTAATTTTATATTACAGAAAAATACAACTTTTAAATCAAAATTATTTACAATAATTCAGAATCGGCACTTGCTACCAGCTCTGTATGAAGCCTGACACAAATGATCATTCTGATACCAGTAAGCTACTTAATGCTTATATACGCACCAGTTAAGACTTTTAATTGGCTGTCTCACCCAGCTTTGAAAGCAACACACATTCTCCTGCCTTCCTGACTCTTCAGTAAAATGTGTTTAAAGTACAATAATATTTTAATGCTTCTTCCGTGCTACATTAAGTAATATGCCAAATATTAAGACTGCAATGTATATCTTGAGAGTTATTTCAGAGTGATTGTTCTGAAGAAACATTTATCTTAACTGATGTCCCCATTCCTCCAAAAAGATGTATTAGGTTTTCCCCCTTTGTACCAACTCTTAAATAACCTGTACAAATACAATTCCAGGGAGCCTTTTTACAGAAGAAAATCATCACAGATAGATCATCAGGAGGAAAAGTATGCACTCAGATTTGGAGGAAAGGGGTGCAGTTTAAAAGAAGTTAGCTACTGGACTGTCGCAAGAAGATTCTTCTGTCTTTAGGAGTCTCTTCTAGTCCATCAAATAAATAAATCTGTATAAAAGAGGACAAGTCAAAAAATAATCAAGCTGGCAGAGAATATTCAACTTGCAAGTCAACAGAAGCCCAGCCAATAGCTTACAAAAAGCAGGAAAAAAAATAAGATTCCATATGCCTTAATTTAAAAAATAATTAATAATGCATCTCACCCCTATTTAAGACTATAACCTGAATATCAAATTTAGGAGTCCAGACTAATCACAATTAATGTGGCTCTCCACTGCACCAAACATACATTATCAAAACAATTAAAAACGTTCACATTCTTAAATCTAAATTAATAACCCCCACAAAAAAGTCTTCCAAATAAATAGGTTTTTAAACGAATTTAAAAGTTGTCAAAATCTATCAGAAATAAATTATTGATAAACCACCTTCATCATCTTCCCCTCATTAATTAGGTCAGAAACTACCAGCAAAAAATGATATTCAAGCCCTGATGAGAGACTATTTCTCACAGTCCATGTCTCTCTGAAGATTTCCCCGTTCCCATATGGTTATTGCTGAGCAGGTGTGGCACAGTGAAAATGCAGCATTGGGTTGTGTTTTTTTTTTTTTTTTCTTTCTCATTTTTGTTCATCGGGCAGTGTTTTATATGGTACATGCAAGTCTGCTTCAAGCAGAGGAATAACAGTAGCTCCAGGCTCTGTTGACCTCAATACTGGTCTGTGTAGGAAAGACAGCAGTAGTAGAAGTAGCAGCTACGTTAAACAAAGAAGCGTGCATGGCCATTCCGGTTCAGCTTCAAGATCTTCCCAAGGCGCTGTTTAGCAGTTGCCATTCCTTTCTTTGGACGTTTGCCTGAAAAATGAAATCAAGTACTTCAACCAGGAATTTCAGAACAAATTTTTATCATGATAGAACAAAGATGGAACCCAGCTTTCAAGCTGAAGCAGGCAAAATTTTCACCTGAATCAGTTTTATAAAAAAACAAAAACAAAACAAAAAAAAAAGAGTCTTCATTTGTCTGTTTGGGAGCAAACAAACAGGGAATCAGAATTGTAAAAAAAACCAGGAATTGTTTTCCCTAAACTCTGGCTAGCATTATCATAAATAAAGTGGTTATATTATTTACAAACATTTCCAGTCTAGGGAAGGGCAGTGGGTGTGGTAGGGGAGAACCCAAACGAAGCTTCCTGAATTTTGTTCAAGTTAGTTATTCCCTTGAGTAAATTATAGAAAATAAACTAGAAATGAAAACCTAAATATTATAATCATCAGACTATTTTTTGAAATGTCACAGCTTTTAAACCTTTACTTCGATAAACAAATCTGATTCAGGCCAGTGTTTCAGAGTATAGTTGTGGTTCTGTTCCCTGTAATAAATGCATAACAGATACACCTCTAGAGGTGCAACAGTAACTATGAAAGTTTCATCTGGCCGCGCACTCAGTTAGATCTCTCTTAATTCTGCCTCCACACATTCTGTGCCAAAATTTGAGAGTCCACAGGATGCCCATTTTATATTTTTCCCTCAAGGTCTAAGTCTGTTCTTTTTTCAGTTTCTGCATCTAAAAGCTCTTTTTTGATGTTTACAAGTTCCTTTTCCTAGTCTTTTTCTTTTTTTTTTCCACTCTGGCAAGAGGACAACAGAGCTAAACATTACCTTTTGTCGCCTGGTTGCTGATAGGGGGTGGATTTGATGCTGGCCTTTTTGTTGGATGAAGTGGTACAGACAAGGATGTTTCACCATACGGTCTGTCAGGGCTAAGGCTGCCATCACTCAGCCGACATTCTCCTTGAATTAGAGTGGAGTCTCGTGTATACTTGCCATGCTGAAAACTCAAGCCATTGTTGTGGACTATACTTCTGTTTTCCTGAACCTTATGATTGGCTTCTAATGCACCCTCTTTCTTGACATATTTTTGAGTTTTACTTGTATCCTAGTTTGGAAGCAAGGAGAAGAAAAAAAAGTGGAAGTTGATACCTCCGGGCTACAAGTTCACTCCAGTTTTTCTAATTATACTACTGTATCTTTGAAAAAGATATTTCAGTTCCACCAGTGTCTGACCACTTTATGATTCCATCATTTCTTTTAGTACAGATACCTCTTAAAAATAAGATACCATATAGTATCTCTGTACAAGCTTTTCCATATGCACTTAAGGGCAATGCCATAGACTAATTACACATACTAGTGTAGCCAATTTCTCTGCTTTTTGGTTTTAGTTTGCCATGACCAAAACAAATGCAACTGCTCTTGACTAAACTGGCCACTATATCAAGCCATACCATAACCACTGACTACATAAACAGGCAGTTTGTTTTCAATATTCAGCTGATGAGAGAACAAATGCTAAATTGGGAATTACAAACCATAAGGAGTACCGTGTAGTCACATACTCTTACCAAAAAACCTAAAAAGCATGCAGTTAAAATATAGCTACTAAATAGCACTGTTGTTTGCAACTTTAATTGTTCTATTGTTCTTTTAACTGTTTAATTATTCTAATACTTCTAATATAGACAAGTTTAGAAATACTAGAAATGTTCAGAGCATAAGACACACAACCTTTCATTTATATATTCCTTGCTGGATTTCACCTGGACATCAGAAAGCAAAAATATTCCTACCTGCTGGCTGTTGAAAGGTTGTATCAGTTTGGCAGTACCAATTTCCTAAGCAAGTACCTTTACTATAAATACTATCAACAGATTCCACTTGTTCTGATGCTCTGTTTGGGAATAACAATGAATAAACAATACAGTGCTTCCCCAGTTAGACTGAACGTAAATTCACACTTTTTTTATGAAGTATTTTTTATTTTTCAAGATACTGCCCTGAGCACCTTAATACTAGCCACTACGACAGAAGAGAGTTTGAAGGGGGTG